GGGGGTCTGAGTGAGTGGCAGTTTTTTAGGGTGACAGGATCGAGGATTGGTGGGTTTTTTTCTTTGGTATGTGTGGCTTTAAACATTGATAACGTTTGTTAGAGGTGAATAGAATTTTGTTCTTATGTGAATAAACTCGACAATAATGTAAGTGTCGTGAAGGAATGTCATATAAGCAGTATATTTTTATTGTCTAGCAATTTCGGTTCTGTAAATCTAATTTAATTTATAGCGTTTCTATATGGATTCATATATGAAGTCCTGATTGTTACTAGTCTTCATTTTTCTGAGACCCAGGGTCACCAAACTTTTTTTTCGAAGTGGGTGGGTAGCTAAGAGAATGCCAAACGTGGGCAGTATATTTTGTTCAATACTGCACCCCGATGTTGTTAAATGAAAGGTTTGTGACAAGCTGGGCACGTGTGAGCTTGAAGTGTGAGCCTATAAAATCACGTTTAATTTGTACTATAGATTTCAATTAAGGATTAAATTAATTTGGCGACCAAGTAAACCATCGGCACGCTTCGAACACATCTTCCAAGTTGTTTTTTTCTTGTGTGGTTTTTGTTCTTGTTTTTCCCGCATGGAGGCATGGCGGCGGGCCAGTCGGGCTGACTTCGTGGGCCGGATCTGGCTTATGGGTCGTAGTTTGTTGACCCCTGGTCTAAAATGAGAGAACACAATTATTGTTCTGTGGACTGTGTAATGCCCCCTCCCCCATACTCACCTCCTCACTCGCTGATGTACTCAGTAGGTGGTTGGCGGGTGCTCTGGTGTGGTTTGCTTCTTCTTTCCCATGAAACATCTATCGTCCTTATCTCCCCTTTTTCTTGTTTATGTTTGTTTCTCTCTTGTAACACCTCTAATCTTCTGGTACTCATATGACCTTATGCAGTTGCGAGCACCGTAAAACCTATACTAAAACTAACAAAAACTGTTCTACTCCCATCCTCTCACCCCAACAGTGCCAATGATGTAAATCAGTGCAGTACTTGTCAACCTTTTATAGCCAACGTCCACTGTTGCCACCTTCTGTTCCTACTGCCCACCTACATGTACATGTATTTCCAAGCGGGGAATATTTAATGACGTCTGTCACTACCTGGATGGTCCCCACTGTCCACTAAAATAACAAAATCACACACTA